TGATTGACTCCAAGGAGCTGGAGCGCCTGCGCACGGAGCAGAACGACGCTTTCAAGCAGCTTCACCTGGCACTCGGAAAGATCTTGGACAGCGACGGCGGCGAGCTGGTCCAGAAGCTAGCGCACAGCGAAGAGCTATGGCAGGAAGCCGACCAGAAGCTGGAGGCTTGGCAGGCTGAGTTTGGTGACGGCTTCTTGACTCGCATCTCGCCCATCTTCGACGCGAAACGCGGTCGCAGCTATGATGCCTGGTGGAACTGGGCTCGCGTCGATATTGCCTCGCTGCTGCTGGGACCCGGTAGCACTTCGAACGAGGAGAAGATCTGGCAGGTGCTGAACCGCTCCAATCCCAGCGCCTTCGACCTAGTCAAGTATTACATTGCCCACCCACTACGCCACGGTGACAAGCAGCTGCAGATTCAGCCCTTGGAGCAGCTGTTCCAGGGTTACCGCGATGCACTTCAGGGAGACTCCGTCTTCATCCACCGGCTTCCACCTCTCGGTCCTCGTACCATCGTCAGCCCTAAGGGAGTTATCGAGTACGAAGAGATCGCTCGCACCATTGGTGGACGCACAGATACCTACGTCGAGCTACTCAAGCGCGGAAGTCGCTTCGACGCCCCCATTGCCGACAGCCTACCTTTTGTTCGGCTCTGTCGTCCTAAAGGCAGTGCCTGGAACTACGATGATGGCCTCACCTCCAGCTACCTCGAATCCATCCGAGCGGCCACATCCACCGGTATCAGCTTCTCCAGTAAGACGGTGCTGATCACCGGTGCCGGACCCCAATCCATAGGTGCTGAGATCACGCGTGGCCTGCTCACAGCCGGTGCCAATGTCATTGTCACCACCAGCCGCTCCAACATGGACTTTTATCGCAGCCTATATCGCGACTTCTGTGGTCGGGGTTCTTCCTTGACGGTCTTCCCCTTCAACCAGGCCAGTCGCCAGGACTGCCAGGCCCTCATTGCTCATCTGTACAACGACACTCTGGGTACTGCGGGTGACATTGACTGCGTGATCCCTTTCGCCGCCATTTCCGAGAACGGCCGACAGATTGACGGACTCGACGGTCTGTCCGAGGTGGCTCACCGTGCCATGCTAGTCAACCTTCTGCGCCTGCTGGGTTGTATCAAACAACAAAAAGAGGCCCGTGGATACGGGGCCAACCCGACGCAGGTCATTCTGCCGCTCTCACCCAACCACGGTACCTTCGGCGGAGACGGGCTCTATTCAGAGTCGAAAATTGGCCTGGAGACGCTCTTCAACCGCTTCAAGTCCGAGAGCTGGGGTGACTACCTGACCGTGTGCGGCGCCGTTATCGGCTGGACCCGAGGCACAGGGCTGATGAGTGCCAACAACATCGTGGCAGAGGCCATCGAGGCTGAGGATGTGATCACATTCTCGTCGGCGGAGATGGCATTGAATATCATGGCACTCATGACTCCCGCCATTGCAGAGGCCTGTGAAGACACGCCCGTGTACGCGGACCTGGGTGGCAAGATGGAGCAGCTGGCTGACCTGAAGGGTTTGTCGACTGCCGCCCGTAAGCAGGTGCAACACCAGGCTCGCGCACGCAAGGCCATTGCAGCCGAGGATGAGCTGCACGAAAAGCTGTTGAAGGGCTCAGAGGAACAGCAACAGCCGAGCACTGCTCCGACTACACACAAGCCGCGTGCTAATCTGACGGTCGGCCATCCAGATCTGCCGGATTACGAGGCCATGACTGCAGGTATTCAGCTGCCCGGGCGTGACATGATCGACCTGAACAAGACTATTGTTGTGGTTGGCTACTCCGAGCTAGGACCCTGGGGTAGTGCCCGCACACGCTGGGAGATGGAGCGAGCCGGAAATCTTAGTCCCGAGGGGTACGTCGAGATGGCCTGGATCATGGGTCTGGTCAAGCACTTCGAGGGCGAACAGCAGGGAGTTCCCTACGTAGGCTGGGTCGACGCCAAATCCAACCAGCCTGTGCACGAGGCCGACTTCGCGGAGAAGTATGGCGAATATATCCACGAACACGCGGGTCTGCGCTTCATCGAGCCGGAACTCTACGATGGCTACGATCCTGCCAAGAAGGAATTCCTGCAGGAGGTGGTAGTGCAGGAGGATCTGCCTGTCTTCCAGGCGACTCGTGCTGTCGCTACCGCATTCAAGACAAAGCATGGCGACAAGGTCTCGATCTCTGCAGCTGGAGAAGACGGGGAGGAGTTCAATGTACAGTTCAAGCCCGGAGCACGGTTCTTGGTGCCCAAGGCGCAGCCGTTCGACCGGCTGGTATCGGGCCAGCTGCCTACGGGATGGGACCCCAAAGCGTATGGTATCCCAGCGGACATTGTCTCGCAGGTAGATCCGATCACGCTGTATGTCTTGTGCTGTGTGTGCCAGGCCATGTTGAGCGCGGGCATCCAGGACCCCTACGAGCTATACCGACACATACACGTCTCGGAGCTGGCCAATTGCATTGGCACGGGCGCAGGCGGGCTGATCGCCATGCGTGGTGTGTATCGCGATCGGTATCTCGACCGCGACGTGCAGAATGATATCCTGCAAGAGTCGTTCCCCAATGCCATGGACGCCTGGGCGAACATGCTGCTCATGGGTGCGGCGGGTCCCATCAAGTCCCCGTCAGGAACATGCGCCACGGCGATTGAATCGCTAGACACGGCTTGTGAGGGCATTCAGGCCGGCAAGGTCAAGGTGGCCCTGGTGGGTGGCACAGATGACCTGCAGGAGGAGATGTCGTACGAGTTCGCCAATATGAAGGCAACAGCCAACACAGTGGAGGAGCTGGCGCGCGGTCGCACTCCACGAGAAATCTCTCGCCCGACGGCTAGTTCCCGCGCAGGATTTGTCGAGTCTGCTGGATGCGGTGTACAGGTGCTCATGACGGCGCAGTTGGCGATCGAAATGGGAGTGCCCATCTATGGCATCGTCGCGTACTCGCAAATGGCGGGCGACAAGATCGGTCGCTCTGTGCCTGCACCAGGCAAGGGCATCCTGACCGCTGCCCGTGAATCAACTACCGCATCTTTGTCACCCCTTCTGGATGCCACATTCCGCCAAAAGCAGTTTGAAGAGCTACGAACACAGATCCAGCAAGGCGCGGCTCGCCAGCTTCAGCAGGCCCGACAGGATGGTCAGCTCTCGCCACACCTGGCCCAGGTCATCGACAGGGCTGCAGCATCACAGATTCGTCAGGCCCAGAATCTCTACGGGCTAGATCTACGACAGCAAGAGCCCGGCATCTCACCGATTCGCGCAGCGCTGGCTGTATGGGGTCTCACCGTCGATGATATCGCGGTGGCCTCATTCCACGGCACTTCGACCAAGGCCAACGACAAGAATGAGTCGGAGGTGATCAACACAATGATGAGCCATCTCGGCCGCACCAAGGGTAACCCGGTTATGGTCGTGTGCCAGAAGTACTTAACAGGCCACCCCAAGGGTGCCGCAGGAGCATGGATGCTGAACGGAGGCCTGCAGATCCTGCAGTCAGGAATCGTGCCAGGCAACCGCAACGCAGACAACGTCGATTCGGTCCTGCAACAGTTCGACCACCTCGTGTATCCTGCTGAGTCTATCCAGACACGCGGCGTGCGAGCCTTCATGCTCACCTCCTTCGGATTCGGCCAGAAGGGCGGTCTGGTGGTGGGTGTCTCTCCGCGCTATCTCTTTGCCGCGGTGGATCAGACACCCTACGAGGCCTATCGCATCAAAGCGCTCCGACGCTACGAAATGGCGAATCGCGCCTTCATCGAGGGGCTGAACACAAACAGTCTGTTCCAGGCCAAAACATCATCCGCCTGGGCCGCCGAGGACGAGATGCGAGTGTTCTTGGATCCATTTGCGCGAGTTGCCGTTGACGACGGCAGCTACCACTTCGATGCCAAATGTCTGCATCCTGATTCAGAGGACTCGATTTCTGAGACGAGCTCCGGAATGTTAACTGCCGTGGAGACGCCCTCAACGCCCACAAGTGAGCCGCTGATGGCTGCATGCCAGAAATGGGTGGAGGGGGCTGTGTCAACGGACGGAACGACCTCGGTAGGCGTGGACATTGAGTCGGTGACTGCCATCAACGTCGAGAACGACATATTCCTGGAGCGGAACTACACTGAGGCCGAGAGAGAGTATTGCCGTGCTGCGCCAGATTCGGCACACTCGTTTGCCGGCCGGTGGGCAGCCAAGGAGGCCGTGTTCAAGAGCTTGCAGGTGCCGTCCAAGGGAGCAGGAGCTCCGCTCAACGAGATTGAGATTCTCAGTGATGGTGGGATTCCAATTGTTCATGTGAGTTACTCTGTTCCTGAATATGTAGTGATTACAGGCTAATACAACTGCAGCTGCATGGTGAAATCAAGAAGCTGGCTGAAGAGAAGCAGCTGGCCAAGGTTCAGGTCAGTATTAGCCATTCGGGCGAGCTTGCTATGGCGGTGGCTGCCACTACGTTTGGCCCTGTTGAGAAGGCGTGAATGTTGTTACAGAGAGGGAGAAATGGAGCGTATGAAAGGATCCAGACTGTACAGTTTAACTTGGATACTTTGTGTTTGGTGATTGCTATTCGTTTTTGTGTAATGAGTACTATGAGCTTTACGATTGGACACTATTATATCTATCTCAATATACGTTGAGTAAGTAACATGGTCAAGCCTTGCAAGCGAATCTGTAAGGCAGTAGTAAGAGACGCATCTAAGTTTAAATCCACTGTGCTAGAAAATAGACAATAATTGAGACGTTAGCTACGATAAATCAGGAACAGCAGTCTGCTATTTCACGTCTCGAGAGCAATCATATGTTCCCAAATAGCTCATCAGCATCCTGCAGTCCAATTCTCTCAAACTTATCCCTCCAATTATCTGAAGCCGATCCTGAGCGCACATTGTACTCTTCCACTGGTTCATTTAACGATTTCAGGTCCGCATGCACACACCCATTGAGTTCGACCCGTTTCTGTGATGACTCTCCAGCAATGTATCTGAGGTCTCCATTTCTGTAGGTACATACCTCGGCTCGGAATGTCTTCCCTGGAGCGAAAAAGAAGCTATCGGCAACAAAATCATGGGCTCTGGGAAGTGGAAATTTGGCAGCCTCAATTTCCTCGGTGAAAGCAATGATACTCAGCCCCCCTGACGTTAAATCATCCCAATCCCTTGAGGCTTCCCCATCTCCACCTGTGATATGGATGTTACTGGCCGAAATCTCCACATTAGGCCCACGAAGTAGCATGTGGGTGATGTGCTTCTGGTCTCGAGTTCCATATAGGTAGAACGGGGTACCCAGTGTTGGGTAGTTAACATCAGAGTGGTCTGCAGACAGTGGTTCGTCTACGAGAACCTGCTCAATTGTAATTTCCACCCTAGCGAAGAGCTCAATTTCGAGGCCCTTACTCCTCTGTAAGATCGAGCCTTCGAACTGGTTCCCCTTTTTGAGACATGTGAGTGACAATCTGCCAGAAGCCCTTAGAAAGATGGGCATTAAGTGATCTGCCTGGAAATAGTTGGCGCAGGCTTGACTTCCCAGTGCGACTTTGAGGATAATTTGCCGGCGACGTTGGGTGAAGTAGAAGGATGGTCGGTAGACAAGGTATGTAATGTCGGACCCTTGCATGAGAAACTCATGGTAGTCGGGGCTTTCATCTCGCTTCTTCTGGCGTTCCTGACAATGCTGCAACGTATCAATTTCTGTTACTTTCCCAATACTCGAGCAGATCTCACTAACCAGCGCTTCACTATCCACCACTTTAACAAACTCTGGGAACAAGTCATCGTGGAAGAACGAATTCTGGTTCTCTAAGAACGGACTCATCACCACGTTTCGTAGCACAACTAGCGGCTCTTTGTCCACCATTAGAGATAGTCGGGATTTGAAGTCGTCAAGGCAGCTGCCGTAAACTTCGTGGTTGAACTCGGTGGAGGTGAGGTGGAGCGGGACCTTACGAGGATCCTCCTGCGCCTCGTGCATGGAAAGCTTCCTCAAAACCCGCCTCATGAAGTAATTGGCCTCGTCCACGTCGGTATTGAACTGACCGTTTGACCTCTTCCAATTTAAAGCAAAGGCGTTGACATTGAGATCAGATCCCAGACGGCGGAGTATCTTAATATTCCTCGGGTCTTTGACGATGTCCTCGTTTTTCCTGCCCACAATGTGGGCTCGAATGTTGTCTTTGACGACTTCCTCGTCTTTACCATTGTCTGTGAACGCATTGAGAGGAACACATTTCCAATATTTCCCCTCTGCCGTCGACCAGTGGGCAGCAAGCTGATAATTCAAGTGGTTAAAGACTTAAATAGTGTAAATAAATGCAGAAGTGTAAGGAAACTGACTTTGGCAGAGGTAAAGCACACCTGACTTAGCAGTGCACCATAGCCTCCAGTAGTTAATCCGATACACTGATGAGACATACAAGTAGCGATGGCTGCTGCGCCAGGCTTGCTGAGTGACACGATCAATCAGTCCGATCGCTGCCTGCTTGAAGAGTGCAACGCATAGTCCACATACCTTCCCTCAAGTCCAATGAAGCCAGTGTTGCTTGATGAGCCATTAGCAATGTATGGACTGGTCCAAATGATGCAGTTCCTTAGCCGATGATCACGATACACTATGGACCCTGCAGGATACGGAATGTACCCAGACTTGTGCGGATCGACCGTGATTGAGTCAGCATCTTTGAGCGCCTCCAAAGCCTTTATGGTGCTGTGCCGCAAGCAGAGAGCTGCCTGTTGATGCTGAGCTTGCGGTGAGCTTAGCATGGATGCGAAATATCCTCCCCAGGCCGCATCGGCGTGAACAAGGAAGGAAAGGCCTCGATCTTGGTATTCGTTGCGCAACGCAATTATCTCATCCAGTGGATCTACGGCGCCGTCCTCGGTGGACCCAATGATTGCGACCACAGCATAGACGGCGCATCTATCACGTAAACTCCTCTCCAGGTGTTGCCTAAGTTTGTCTATGTCCATCCGGGCATCGTTTTTCACCGGTATTCCGATAAAGTTTTTCGATCCAATACCGGCTAGTGCTGATTAGGGGGCTTGAGATTAGTATACGCAGTGGATCTAATTCTTTGTAAAGAAAAGCCAACAGGGAGCAAACACGTCACTCACCCCCTCCCTTTGGCCATGAATAGTGGTGTGTTTTGGTCATCAAGTACTGTATCGGCTGGAAACAGCGTAGTCTTCCCAGGTCTTCGAGTCCGGCATGCTCAACGCTGAATTTGCGAAGGGCCCTGTCCAGGAAGCTAGGTGATATTCCAAACTCTCGATAGAGTCGATCAGGAATGTTTAGAATTGTGGTTGGGGTGAGGTTAAAAAGCTCCCAGTAAGTCAAGTCGACGAAAAGCTTCTTCATACTACCCTTCTTACTGGGAGTAACGTAGAATCTATCGGCAATGAAGTGCAGGTCTGATCCTGGTTCCATTGCGCATCGCAGAGACACTGGGTAGAACTTCAGGTTGCGCGCTAGAATTTCATGAAAGACCAGTCAACCAGAAAAGTCTGTTTTGGATGTTGATGCACTCACCAACCCAGATTGACTCCATATTGGCGGTTGTACCACCGCTCGTGAGATGCCCCCAACCGACCAACTCATGCTCGGGATCTGTGTTGTATCCGAGCATCTGACAAAGCTGCTTGCCCACTTGGGTCTCGGCATAGGATGATACAGGGCTGGCCTCAACCGCTACATTGTTGGGATTATGCAACATGGTCATGAAGTACCCCAGCACGGCGGGCATACTCACATCCGAGACCATATGAGCTTGGTATCGTGGAGACCAGAAGGGAACAGATCGATGGCCTAGAAATCTTACCATTCCTTTGACCGCCAGTTCTGTTCGCTTTTTGGCAACCTTAAAGGCCTCTGAATCCTGCGGATTACCGCTGAAGCAGCTCTATAATACATCAGAGGAAAACAGTAAACCCGAAGACATGATATAGAAGCGCACTTCTTACATTGTCATTTGGAAAGATTCTTTCCCGGTCATTCTTCAATGATTCCAGAATCTCCTCGATCAGGCCTCGAAACACGGCGTAATTTTCTGCTTTCGGGCCTAGAAAATAGGCACATGAAGCCTCGTAACCTGACCGATTTGCGGATGCCATGGCCACGGTGCGCTGGAGACTTGGTCGTAGGAATAATAGTGACTGAAGGAAGACTGCACAGTACCAAATAAAGGATATGAAAATAACGGCTTCTTCGAGCGATTGATTCTACGGAAACATGAATTCTCTGCCACTTGATTGCTTCTATATAGCACTCAAACACTTCTACAGCCACCCACCAGTAATTCCGCTGACGCTGGGGCCAGTCGTTCAAATCACTCATGCATTCAAGATGCATCATGGAAGCTAGAGTTATGCAAGATCTGCTATGCCCCAGCTGTATTGTGACGAGCTTGGAATCGGGTTCAACTGGATTTGTGTAACCGCCGTCGCATGCCGACAAACATGGGATCGGGTTGATGTTACACAGAAGAACCTTCCCTATGGCACTCAGTGATATGAGCTGATTATTTGCCAAAAGCTGTACCACTACCTCGCAGTTCCATATGACTTACACCATGTTTATATATCGGCTCAAAATTTCGTCTGGCGATGACCTGCTACCCAAACCCTCCTCCGTCGCTCCTTGAGCTTGTACTGTTCCTCGAGCGCAATGTCGTCACTTTGATAGTTCCATGCAGGTCACCGTGCTTGGAAGTCGGTTTTATGTAAGGTCACTCACTCTGAAGGGTACCTTGCTTCTTCATGCCAAACCATCTCAGCTCCATGTAAGGAAATGAAGTCTATTAACCTGGGAAGCTTGCACAACAGCTGGGAAATTTGCACAACAGGCGCCGCTGCTGTATCACTGTAGGCCATTTCTGGAAGAGTGTGATCGAGGACGTAGCAATCAACGATATCACTCTATCAACACCCAGGTATTCCAAGGTCTAAAATGGCTGATTCAAGTAACCTCAAGTTATGAGAAATGGAAAGGTGGCCATTTGCGTTCATACATCATGCTTTAGGCTTCAACACGACCTGATAAGATACACGTCACTATTGTAGATAGCCGGGTCCAAGGCCACGTAAATACCTGATCAACAACTATTGCTCCCAGGCAAGGAGATACTTGGGTTGGTGAGATGTCCGTAAGCTTGAAACCCGGAGATACCCACACTGCCTGGAATTCCCTGATTGTCTCGTTCATGATCAGGCCTATTTCATTCCTTGCACGTCTAACCCAGATCCAGAGCTCACGACATTCTAAGATGCCATTTGCACTCGAACTTGCCAAAGAAGAAGACTTTGCCGAGCTCATCACGGCTCAGTGGGAAACGTTTGAGAGTCCCCCGCAAGGAATTTCACACCTTTTCTTTCCCATCGAAGATGGTGGTTGGCAAAAGAGCCTACAGAGAAGTATCTTGGACCAGCGCACGTCTTTTATCAAGGATCAGCCGACCGTCAAGTGGATCAAGGTAATGGATGTAGGAAAGAAACCGATTGCGGCCGCTGCCGAATGGTACTTCTTCGACAATGCCAGCTCCATGGCCAAATACCCACCGGTCGAGATCAATTGGTATCCCAAAGGTGTGACCAGGGACTTTGTGGCTCAGGTGGTGTAGCAATATGAGCAACCAGGGCATAAGATGGGCCAAGGGTCATATGCATGTAAGTCTATCCTGTTATGAACACGATTTGGTTCAGGACGGAGAGCAATTCTGTTGATACGCATTTCTTATTGAGGGAAAAGTTTCTGGGCGTTTACATCCAATAGTTAACTGACAATGTTACATAGACCTTCACAATGGTTTCACGAGACCGGAGTATCGAAGCAAGGCATCGGTAGTAAGTGGATGCAATGGGGACTGGCAGAGGCGGACCGATTGGGGTTGGAGACCAGACTGGATGCTACTGATTTGGGTGTCCCTCTGTATGAAAGGTACAGTTTTTGAGTAGCCAAGGTGCATGAATTGAGTCCGGTAATGCCCGCGAGTCTGACGAGGAGTGGGATGCGGGAATGGAGACGCTGTGAAGAGGAATTTCTACCCATTCGCACCACTGTGATGGTGCGCTTTCCAGGTGGAGTTCCCGCTGCAAGCATGGAGGTTTAAGGAAGTCAGTAAAAGAGGAAAGCGTCCGTATGCAAGAAAATTACTACTTGTGTAATCTCCACTTGTAGAGAGACAGGAATACAGGGCACGTTAAGATCCGGTGAGACAAAGACTAGTTCACAGGATGGTTTCAAAGATATCCTCATCTTATGTTTTCCGATACCCAGAAAGAAAATTGCTTGACGGCACTTCCCTTTGTCCACGAGTCATAAACTAGAATTCCGAGGACAACAAATCATCCCAGCGGCGAATTCCTTCCAAGGACTTACAAGATGAGTAGAAGTCCAATAGATTGGTAGAAAGGGCCCAATATCTCAGCCTATTTACAGCCGATCACTAGGCTTCCTCCCTGATTATCGGTAGCTGCTTAGAAGAATATCCCTGCTTCTCCGAAGTATATAGATATAGTCACCAGTCCCTGGCCCATTACATTGCTTCAATTTTCTTACTTTCTTCTCCAATGTCTCTCGAAATTTAGGCCCATCACTTACAGTCTCACCACCCAGAATCTTGATTGTCTCTGCCTCGCCATACGAAAGATTTTGTAGGGTTACCTGGCCTGTTTATACCGCTCACCCCAAAATCTATTCGGCCTTCTGTTGGATCTACTGAGCAGCATGATGAGATATCTCTGGAATCTACGTAGTAAAGGTCAGTATAGCATAGCTGGCAATCAGGAATACTATGCTTAAGTAGGAGAGAAGAAATTACATTGCAAAGCTAACATCTGGGTCAATTAGGTCGATGGTTTCGTTGCTATGAAGTCTACGGTTCTGATCATGAATCTGATTCCGATCGCCCCGAGGCGCTGAAAGAGATCAAGCAGCTGTGTGAAGAGCCGGACAAGCTAGATAAATGGGAGGAAGCTCAATTTCCAGCTCCGGTAGGTGCACTGGCCGACAGAGTCTACACCGTGAATTTGGACGCTGGCACACTGGTAGTGTCTTCCATCGGGATCCGAGAGCATGAAGTCCAGACAGTAACTGACTGGTATGATCTGCGCACGGTACGTGAGGCCTCTAGCTTGTCTGCAGCGGGACTCCGTGAGGAGCTGAAAGAACTACCTACGCATGCCCCTGAGGAAATTATGAATAATGGATTGGCGCAGCCCCCGCTGGAACCACTGCATCTCCGCTTGGATATCCCGACTTTCCTGAACGAACTGCAAGCCCGATTGTTCATCGATCTTATGTGGGCCTGGGGCTGGCACGTTTGCGATCCGATAACTATGCGTTATGATTCGCCGGCGTTGAATTATTTTTGTATCGCCATCTTACGTCTTGCAGCTTGGGATTTCGAGGTTTCATTGGACACCGACGTTGACCTCCCAGTGACAGATTATCCTGATGTACCCTGGAGCTGCCCCAAAGGTGACATCTACTGGTTCCATGGATTCCTTATTGTTCTACACAACAACCTGGAGGATCAATCCATGATCCGCTCAGCAGTTCAAAAGGCTGAGCAGTACCTTAAGAAAACCGCATCCCAGAGTCATCACACCCACTTGATAATCATTTCGACATGCCATGTTTGTTTTGCAGAGATCTCAGACGACACTGTCCGTGCAAGCAGCCCAAGTATGCTGATTTCGGATATGTCCAGCGGCCGGTGGCCTGCGGGTTTCCGTGCCCTATGCCTGATTCTCACAACAAACTGCTGGCGAGAAAGAAAGACACACCGGGAGACATGGAAGCCTCACCTGCCTGCTGAAATTGTTCGCCTCATCCTGCAGCATCTGGAGCCACGCGATGCGGTAGCATTCGCACAAGCGTCTTTCATTGCCGAAAGATGGTATTACGCAAGTATACACCAATTCAAAGACCTTGTCGTGCAGAGCTCCCGGTTGCTAATACCGTGTTGCGGCAAGCGCAGCGGACTCGAAGAGTCCGGGGTGATGTGCTCAGTTTGCTACTCCTGGCAACACAGTGACTGCCTTGACCAAGCTAATCTTCCGAGTGATAGTTGTCCCCACTACATTTGCTCGCGCTGTCGAAGTGGTGAGCCAGAAATGGGTCCCGAAGCCATGCACAACTTTTGGCGTAAAGGAGCATGCAAGGTTCGACACGGAAGTACTCTCAAGAGGTTTTGGCTACAACAGAATTGGCTACAACATAAAAAACGCGTTTCTAGTAAAAGGCATGGGTCCAGACACTATCTTGCGGACATCGACTATACAGTCCGGTTTAATGGTGCTTTTTCTGGTTTGGCTTATGGCTTCGACGATCGTGACTTGGACGATGATGACACTGACGCTGATGGCTACGTTGATTATAGCTACGACGATTTTAGCTCCGACGATGGTGGTTATGACTATGATGACTATGACGGTGATGACATTGGAAACCATGGCACTGACCATAATGACTTTGATGATGAACCCTGAGAGTGCCTTGCTATCCGGGTAACCAAAACGTAGTTGAGATGGTGCAACTAGAGAAGAGATGACTTGAGGAAGGCAATTCAAATTTCTAGCGCTTTAGACGCGTCTCACGCCTTCATATCTGTTTCATTAATTATAATAATGCCCTTCGGGGCTGTCAGACTGTACTCCTCCATGCCCCACTGTCTCACCGCGTAGGCGTATCATGTAGTGCCAAATGTTTCAACATCTGTTCAATCTGAACACTATCTCTGCGTACATGAAAAGCATGCTGCTCCTGCGATCGACCAGATAGTGCCCATGGCACAAAACCCTCATGTTCAGGCAACGGTCCATGATACTCATAAAAGTAGACCAACTGACCCTGTACCAATACTGCCCAACAACTTTCCATCCCTGATATTCGGTGCTGAACTGAATGCTGAAGTCGATTGATACAACTTTGAGGTGACTCATCCACTTCTGATCAAATCACGACGTGATTGACGATCTTGCGACCCTCGGAAGAATGTGGCTGGATTTGGCGGATGATGAACTCAAAATCTGTAGAGCACTTGCTGCCTGTTGACGTGGGTGCAACTATAAACCCCTTGTCGATAGGGAAGTAGTAAGAGAGAATGCCAGATGTCATTTCTTTCTACGCGTCTGCGTTTTTAGGGTCCTCCTCGACTCGTCGAATAAGTTCATTGATGATGGGCATGGTGAGATATTCTGCCATGGTTGGTGCTCAGATTGAATGGGATTTTTATCTTGTGTTCTTGCAGCGCGGGCCCTGAGGTTATTCAGCAGGTAAGATACAAAGGGGGACTTGAAAGAGGGTTGTAGTGGAGCTCGAGCTGATCACTTTGCCAAGGTGGGGAATATGTTCTTTTCTACGCAAAATAAGCGGCCGAGGTTCGGCACTGATCGAGGATTATCTCCTTGAATGCAAGTAGTCGACATCATTTCTTTCTGTCCAGCTTTGTTTATTATCTATCATAATAATCAATATCCATATTAACATGACAAACCCTTTCCCTGTATGCAGTCCTGGACCAGCCTTATACTGGCTCATCATTTTCCCATCGCCAAAACGCCACATGAGACTCCCAGAGAGCTCAAGTCTATGTGCATATAATAATATACGAGCAATACAGAACTAAAAATTTATGCCCAAACCCGTCGATGCATGGTCCTCCCAAGCCTCACTCTTACTCTATCCATCCTTTTCTGATGAACAATGTGACAACCGCACAACCCATCACAATTCCAACTGAGATGATTTCCTGACGCTTCCACCATACTTGTAAAACAGCATTGGCACTGGGATCATGCCAAGTGTAACGAATCCCAGCAGGGAATTACCCCATCCGTAGCCCAAAGTCGAGTACATGCGCGGTCCCGCCAGCGGCAGCAAAGCCCCCATCAGCGACCGTGTGACCACCATTGCGGCGGTACCGGAGGCAGCATACCGAGGATAGCAGTCGATCACGTAGGTCTGCAAGGTATTGTAAATACCCACCATCCCGAACGCAAAAGGCGCCAGGCCAATGATCGGCACAATCCAGTGCGTATGCTCCTGCGCAGACCATCCGTACCAAAAGAACGAGACGGGGATGAAGAAAGCAAAGACGATGGTGATGGACAAACGCATTTCCGGCTCAAAGACGTTGTTGTTGCGCAACTTCAACCGTGTGATGATACGGTCACTGACCAAGGCAAAGACGATCTGGCCACTGATAAAGCCGACACCGAGACCGAGATACGCGAGGCCACTGATCTCCGTGCTCCAGCCGTAGGACTTCTTGAAAACATCGGTCACTGTCGTAAAGAGCAAGTAGAGACATCCGTAGAGTGTGGCCAGATAAGTGGCAACTGGGAAAACGATTGGCGAACGGACCAAGAGATAGAATGGCATGATCAGCCGTTTGCCGAGGGTGCTTGTATAAGAACCTTTGGCATCCGCTCCATTAGGTTCGTAGCAGCTGTATAGTTCAGGACGATTGAGCTCCTTGCGGAGGCGCTCGGTCTTGCGGCGTATGATTACGACGTGGTTGGTCTCACGGTTGAAAATCATGACCAGAGCAGAGAGCGTGCCGCCCGCAATGACCAGCACCCAGAACACCTAGCAGGATATCAATATCAGTTATGTGGATGAAATCACAGGTGAAAATGACATACCCAGTGCCAACCCGCTCGCTGAGCGATGAAACCTCCAAGAAGCGGTCCCAGAACAGGTCCGATCAAGATACCCGTAGTATAAACTGCCATTGCAATTCCACGCTGTTCGGCCACAAATAAGTCGGCCACCACACCACCGCCTGTGGTCAAACAAGCCGATCCACCAACGCCCGTCAGGAAACGAAAGACAATTAGTGCAGAGATATTGGGGGCTAGCGCGCAGCCAATCTGGAAGGCGACAAAGAACGTGTTGGCCGCACTGAGGACGATCCGTCGGCCGTACATCTCACTCAGCGGAGAGAAAAAGAGAGGACCAGTCTATATGACAAATTGGTTAAGCATAAGTCATATTCTTGACAAAACGGAGACTGCACATACCACATAACCGATGAGATAACCTGTGACCGAGAGCGTTCCCAAAATAGTCGATGTGACATCAAATTCCTCCTCCGCATACACC